GAAAACTGTAATTCCAGCATAATATATAACTGCTGTAACCTAGGAAGAGGTTACTGAATAAGAAGAATAACCAAACGAAAGTTGGAAATGGAATGATAATATTTATAACAGGAACAACATACAAGATTCACTAGCAACGTCTAGTAAATAATCAACTCCTAGTAGTGAGTCAAGGTGAATCACAAGTAAATCCCAAGTGGAGATATTCACTAACGGCCCCATGTGGTCAGATGTGTCACAAGGCCAAAGTTTAGTGTGTTGTATCCAAGCCCATAGGCTCGAACAAAAATTCCTTGTATAGCCTGTAAAAAACGGGGTCGGATAACTGTTTCCCCAGATGAGACTCTGCCCTTTGATATAACCTCATCTGGGTATCCTCTCTTCCCAGAGGCTTAGGGCTTGACCAGCACACTTGGAAGTGAATCCCAAGTGGAAGACAACATACAGTATATACCACTGTATTCAAAGGAATTGGGACATATCCATTATCATCCATAGGTACAGTATAACAATAACTATGCCAACATTGTGATAACCAGATATATGAAGATTCAAATTGTGTAATGGTCAGTCCATACTCAGCACCTGAGGATTGCATTGCGCATGAAACTCAAGTTGTGCTAGCAGTCATGGATAATATATATATATATATATATATATATATATATATATGTGACGTACCTACGATTTCATTAACCATATAGGTGTAAGGCTAAAAAATATCCCCCCAAAAAATCCCAAATTCTAGTTTAAATATAGATAAAAGAAATAAAGAAATAAAAATAGATAAAATCCAATGGTTTCAACTTGCTATAATCAGCCATACCTTCCTCTTCTCTTCAGAAATTCTTTCCCTCTTTACCTTCTCTTCCACCCACAAGCCAAGGGCCTCGTGAACTTTGAAGCGACCCGACGCGAGAATGACCTGGTTCCAAAATCCCGCGGCCATCAGGCGGTTGACCATAAGTGAATTCCAGGCACCATCAGGATCTCCTGCTGCGATTCACGTGATCAGACCCTACTAAGTGGTGATGGAAATTTTGGCCATCACGCAAACACTTCGTGCTTTGTGCCCCGTCCTCCTGCGTACCTAGTTAAGCAAAAATCCAAAAAGGTTTTTCAGTTTCCGTTTGACCAGTGGCAGATGAACATCGCTGGGCAAGTCCCGATTCCAAATAGACTGCCCACTGAAATGAAGAAGACAGCAAAGTCTGTCAACTAGAGATGAAAGGACTGCTAAGAAACTGAATTGACCAACGAAACGCATGTACGAGATGCTGTGGACCGCGAACATTTCCGAAAGAAATTTTCCCTGGAAAATTGCTGGCTGACCAAAATATTGTTTTAACATAAGAACTCTCACTTCAGTGAATCAGAATTTTGTCTGGAAATATCAACTCGACTGACAGATAAGTTGATTTTCTTGGCTTAATCTTTTTTATGTATATGTATTTATTCGCTCGCACCCTCTGTTCTTTCATGATCTTCTTCTACTTTGTTAAATGAACTTTCTTTTTTTCTTTCTTTATCTGTTTATGTATTTATAAATAAATGTTTTATTTTGAAATCCATCGTCTTGCGTCGGTTCTTCGTTGACCCCCTTGTGTCGCTTCCATTCCTGAGTGAAGACTGAGAAAAGATCCCACGTTTTCTTTTTTTTAACCCGTGGTTCACCTATATGCTACAAGTTTGTAACATATAAAATTGGGGGCTCGTTCCGAGAAACTTTTCTCCCTGTTTTTTTTTCACTCAGTAAGAATCGCACAGCTTCAGGGTGTCGGCGAACTACAGGCCAAGATGTCGGTTATAGATAGTTTTCTCGCATCACCCTCTATGGAGAAATTATGTAAGCTGAAAAAAGATGATATAATCGAAATAGGGAAGAAATTAGAACTAGAGATAAGGAAGTCTATGAGAAAAACTCAGCTAGTTAGAATAGTCGCTGAACACAAAGGCAAGGAGATGGCAATAGCAAAGAAGGATGACAAACGCAGATGGTCCGTTGTAGACGATAGAAACCGTGTCTTTATTTGCGAACAGTGGGTGGAAAGACGACAGAGGTCGTTTGTTCGGGAACGGTTGGAACTGGTCGCTGGACGTCAGTGAAACGCTGCAGGAGTGAGCCGGAGATTGCTGGAAGCTGCAGGGGTGAGCTGGAAACTGCGGGAATCTGCTCCCTGGCCGGCTAAAAGCCGCTGTGAAGTCTCATATTTATCTAGATATGACGGTTCATACAAGAGACGCGGTGACGCTAAACAAGTAAATGAATATAATCAATTTCTTGATGGGCCAAAGTCCATATAAATTACAGTCAAAAGTGCGTTTGGTGTTTGTTGACTGTATTTAAATTAATTTCGGTTCAAAATTAAAGGTCTTTTATTTTTTTTTAGTATATATAAAATTGAGTTTTATGCTATGTATTTCTGTCAGTTTGAAAGGAGGTCGTTGCTATTTTTAGCACACAAGAGTCGTGACCTTTCTCTACCAGCAGGCATATTGGTTGTGGGTGCTTCTGAGGTTGGCTCTGACACCGGTTGTGACGGTTGCGATTGCGTGGTTGTTGAGGCAGGTGAGGGTTCTGGATGTGTTGAGACGGGTTCTGTCTTCCATGGAGATTTTTCCAGAAAAGCTGATTTGACTCTGTCGATAGAGATGGTGTCTGTCCGGCTTCCTCGATCAATGGTGAGATGCTTCTCAGAGCGTTTCAAAACTTTGAATGGACCCTGGTATGTTAGTGGTTACTTTACCGCGTCATTTCGGACGAAAATAAACTCGCAGTCCTGAAGCTGTTGTGGAACGTGGATAGTTGGTGATGATTGCCTGGGTGGTGTATACTTCAGTTGGGCCATTTTATGGCGAAGTTCCTGAGTGAAAGGACTTGCAGTTGTGAGGTTGGGTGTGGTGTCGTCGAAATATTGGCCGGGTAAAGAGAGTGCTGTACCAAAAACTATTTCGGCTGGAGTGCATTCTAAGTCTTCTTTGAGTGTGTTGCGGATTGACAAAAGGATTAGGGGTAGCTCATCTACCCAGTTGCTGGTGGGATGTTTTGTAGTTAGAGAGGCCTTTAGTGTTCGGTGGAACCTTTCCACAAGGCCGTTGGCGCAGGGATGGTAGGCGGTGGTCTTGATGTGTTTGACGCCGAGCAGTTGAGTGAATTCCTGAAAGAGTGAGGACTGAAACTGCGCGCCGCGGTCTGTGGTGATGATGCTGGGTACGCCAAAAATTGCGATCCACTCCTGAAGGATGGTCTTTGCTACCGTGCTAGCCGAGGTATCTCTGATGGGTACTGCTACTGGCCACCTGGAGAAACGGCCAACCACTGTGAGGAGGTGCTGATAATTCTGGCACATTGGGAGAGGTCCCACTATGTCGATGTGGATGTGGCTGAAACGTGCGTCAGGGTTGCTGAATGTGCCTGGCGGGGATTTTGTGTACCGGTGTACCTTGCATTTCTGGCACTTAAGGCACGTTGATACCCAATTACGGATGTCAGTATTCATGTTGGGCCACGCAAAACGATCGGCAATGAGTTTGACCGTAGCGCGCTTGCTGGGATGTGACAATCCATGGAGGTGGTTGAAAATTTGCCTTCTGAGTGCCGGAGGTATGTAGGGTCTGGGGTGATCCAGTTTTGTATCGCAGTACAATATTTTGTTGCTGAAAGGTGCCGGAAATTTCAGTTGCAGGGATGTGTTGGCTAGAACTTCAGGGAGGGTTGCGTCGGATTCCTGGGCCTCTGCTATCAGGTCCTGGCTGAGTGGGCTGTCTTCCACTGTGTTGACATCAAATCTGGATAGGGCATCGGCGACAGAGTTGTCTTTTCCTTTGACATAACGAATATCGGACGTGAACTGTGAGATATAGTCCAGATGCCTGATCTCGCGCGGCCGTATATTTGGCCGAATTGTTCGACAGGGAAGTTGTCAAGGGTTTGTGGTCGGTCAAAACGGTGAAATTCCGGCCTTCCAGTAGATGTCGGAAGTGTTTGATGGCGAGGTATATAGCCAAAGTTCTTTCGAGAAGGTGCTGTATCTGGACTGGGCTGGTGATAATTTTAGCCGAGAAGAATGCGATGGGTTTATGTTGGTCGTCAACCTCCTGTTCTACCACAGCTCCAACTCCAGTGTCTGAGGCATCTGTTGTTAGATATATCTGAGTCCGGGTGTCTTCGTTGAGATGTGCCAACTTCGTAAAGTCAGCTAACAAGTTTTTTGCTGCTTGGAATGATTTTTCCTGGTCGCCCTCCAGGGTGATGGTTTTGTTTTTTCTCTGGAGGAGATTTGTCAGTGGGGTGAGGAGTTTTGAGCATCCGGGGATAAACCTGCGGTAAAAATTTACCATCCCCAAGAAGCGTCGCAGTTGCTTTATTGATGTGGGCATCGGGATATCCTGTATGGCTTTTATCTTATTGGGAAGTGGAGTGATTCCCTGAGCGTCTGTGTGGTGTCCGAGGAAGTCTATGTGTTGTGCACCGAATTCGCACTTGTCTGGGTTAATTTGGAGGCCGTAATGTGTTAGACGGCGGAACACTTCCTCCAGCTGTTGTTTGTGGAGATCAGCGTCTCTGCTAGCCACTAGGATGTCATCAATGTATGCGTAGACGTATGGTAGTCCACGCAGAACTTCGTCCATCAGCATCTGGAACGTCTGGGCTGCGTTGCGCAGTCCGAAAGGCATTTTTAGGAATTCAAACAGTCCAAAAGGGGTTGTGACTGCTGTCTTTGGGATGTCCTCCGGAGCAACTGGAACTTGGTAGTAGGCTTTGGTCAGGTCAATTTTAAGAAAATGCGGGCCCCAAGGAAACCTGAGGCAAAGTCGTGGATGTGCGGAACAGGATACCGGTCGGGTACTGTGGATGAATTGAGTTTCCGGTAATCCACACAGATCCTGAAAATCCCCGTCGGATTTGGGTACCAGATGCAGTGGTGAAGCATATGGGCTGTCTGAGGGTCGGATGATATTGTCGGCCAGCAACTCCTCAAACAATTTCTTGGCATATGCTAATTTGTGTGGAGGGAGTCGTCGTGGCCGTGAATATGCTGGTTGTCCGTGGTCTTTATATGGTGTTGGGTCTGATGGTCGCCTGCATCAGTTGGTTTGATGGGTTGCGTGAGGTGCTTGTACCGGCGCAGGATTTCTACGTAGCGTGGGTCGTGCTGTGTTGCCACGCTGATCCTAGTTGTGTTGTAACTCGAAGGGATCCCTGTGATCTTGATGGATGACGTGTTGTCGGACAGGGTCCTCGTCTTCATATGGACAGCCAGGTTGTAATGTGCCAAGAAGTCGGCACCGAGCAAGGGTATCCTGACGTCAGCTACAGTGAATGACCACTTGAGGTCGCGCCTGATGTTGATGTTTAAGGTAAGCTCCTTGGTCCCATAGGTTTCTATGGTGGAGCCATTTGCCGCTCGAAATTGGAATGAGGTGGCTTTCAAGGCGGATCTGTTGGTGGGTGGTATCACGCTGATGGCTGCACCAGTGTCAACTTTAAATTTGAGTCCATTGTTACGGTCCCACAGGTAAAAGAGACGACTGAATTTTCAAAGAGTACCGACAGGGATCGTCGTCGCTGCCTGTCGGTCTATTCGTTTTCCCTGGGTCTTATTTCGTCTGCAGGAAATAGGCACTTGCGGGCTCGGTCACCGAAGGTTTGTGTTACCAACATTCGTCCGCACTGTTTCTCCGTCCTGGACTTGAGCTGCGGGTACAAGCTTCGATTTCGTGGTGCTGGGCTTAGAAAAAAAAATAGGGAAAGTTTCAGGTCTCTCAACTCAGCGCGTATTAACTGGGTCATCTCCTCTTCGAGGCGTTGTGTTTTTAGTTTCCGTGGCTTTCAACCTGGTGAACTTTTGGTGAGCCTGGGAGTATATCTTGTCGGCTGAATCGGCCACAACGTCAAGGGGCGTTTCTACTGGTACCAGGGCTAGGACTTGTGTTATATTCGGTGATAACCGCCACGAACACACCACAAGTGGTGACTTTCCCGACTTAATTTTTCAACTCCTGCTAAAAACACACAAGACGATATATATGTACAAAAACTAACAATTTCTTATATACACACCTTCCCAAAAAGAGAGCCAGATAGGGAAAACATTGAAAAACTTCTTTTCGAATCCTACGCACGCCGTACACTAGAACAACAATTACTACTATTCAAGACGAACCTGAGAACTCTTCCCCACTGGTCTATATTTGACCCTTTTTTTCTCTCGGCGACGTTTGACCTAATTTCGCCCAGCAGACATGCTTAAGGCTGTACTAAACGAAAAACAACGCCATTTTTTTCTACCAACCAACACTATCCTCTTCTGGACTGAAACAGATAAAGTGTGAACCCAAACCACTAAAGGCGACCCACTGTCCTTCACTCTCAACAACATTGGTGATTCCGACATGGAAGCGACATACAAGTTTAATTGGAATAAACGCACAATTTTCTGGACGACTCACTGTTCCATTACGATGCGACATCACTGAGGATTTGCACGTAATTCGTCGCTATTAATCTTGCAAATTCCGCTTTCTTCCAACACATGCTACTGGTCATAGCATTTCGCATCTTCTTCCATTCTGAAACTCAAAAAGCGCGCGCATACATTTTCCTACACCACGTGGCGACAACTTCACGCCACCGCTTGCTTCCCATGCTTCAAACCTTCTTTTCGGACGACTCACTGCTTCGAAAAACATTTTCAACGATTGCACCCTGACGACAACACAAGCACATTTCGGAATCACGCATCTCAACCACACTTCTGACACATTTTCTTTGCAGCTCAAAAGAACAATATTCAAACTTTCACGAACCTTTTTCTTTATATATTAAAAGTTTTCATTTCCTTACAACTTTTAATCTGGTAGGGGGAATTGTCGGAGTTAACTCTTCCTTCAGTCCGTTAACCCTTTCACCAGGGGTCTCTCTTCCCTGGCTATAAATAGCCGCTAACACTTCACCTCTATCTCTTTTTTCCTTCAGGCCTGTGCACCGCAACCTTGAGGTAAATTTCTCTTTTTCCTTCAGGATTTCAGCTATCAACCTCGAAATGTAGGCGCTAACAAGGGATAGCGTGGAAACACGCTAAGCACAATATTCACACACGCACTCACATACAGAATATTCACACACGCACGCACATACAGAATATTCACACACACTTCGTCTTTTGTACTGTTTCCATGTATTGTAACTTGTTATTAATATATATTTGTATATACATATATTATCGGTCTTGTGTTTTGTTTGCTTTCTTTTACCTTTTTCTTTGGACTTAATCAAAGTCCAACCTTTTTATGTAGTTGGGCTCGGCGGGCAGGAGTATCTGAACCTTGCGTTTCTTCTACGTCTGACTTCTATCAACAACATAACAGCCACGCCATGAACCCTCAACAAGTGGCAACCGCCATTCCCACTACAAGTGGTAACCGCAACGGCCCACTACAACGTCTTCGACGTAGTAGCATTATATTGTTGGGAACGTGCAGAATTTATTAATTATGCTTGAAAGAATCAGAAGGAATTTGTGTAGGTTGCGTGACTTTCTGCATCCACAACAAATAAATAAACGAAATTTAAAATACGATTAAGAACAAGACATATTCAATTAGAAACTAATATAACATTTATATACAATTCAAAACAATATACAAACAGGATAATTGATATATGTTATGTTGGCGAAGTGTGTATGAAGTTTTTTGATTTCAGAATGTCTCTCTTTGTAATTGTTCGTTCATTTACAGTCTTTTTAAGTTTGTGTTGATAATAATTGTCGATATTAAGTGTCTCTTTTAGAAGGAGTTTTTAAGAGTGATCTACCTTTGACTGTAATATTTTTAAGATCGTTCGCACATTGATGTTACTTAATAGGTAGTGAATATAATTCACTTTAGATAAGCAATGTTTGAGAATCGATGTCCACTGAGTTGGTTGAGTTTTAATTGTGAGTGAGTCAGCGTTGAGGTACCTTTGCGCGGAAAATCGTGATTTCGAGTGATGTGGAGTATGTTGGCAATTTCTCTGTGGGTGTTCGTTACTGACTGCTTGGGGCAGTCGGCGTTTACTTTTATAAGTCCTGAAAGTCCGAAATTGGCTCACGGAGTTTTGGCGCAATTTCGATTGGTTGATTCGCCTAGTGCGGTTATAGAATCGTCAATGTTTGTCTACTCACCCCCGTTAAAAATAGACTCTTCTATAAGAATTAGCTTTGACCAATCAACACCACACATTGTGTAACTCGGCTTGTTATTGGTCGAGACCACCCTAGAATGTGTATCCATGGTCAAAAATCTGTTTTCCCGCCAGGCCACTGGGAGCCTACTTTGGTTTCCAAAATCAAATAAAAGGACGAATTTCAGTCCAATTCACCAGTCAGATCTACATTCCTAGAGAGATACCAGACTGACCCACGCAAGTCAAAACTCTGACCAACCAGGACTTTGCCGCGCAAAATATCTGACTCAACAATCCACAAACACACTCTATCTCCCTCAAGAACATCACTTACAATACTTTGAAAAGTGACATTTTCTTCTCACTACTTAATAAGTATTAGTAAACAAACAATCAAATTTTCACACAACTAAAGGTACGCAACTCCTGCCAATTATACAAACATACTTACGCACACACACTAATAACTGAACTAGCACAAAGGACAATTTAGTACGTAACTGGACACTTAGTTTAATTCTGTGAACAAATCTGAATAGCAATTGCAAACACCTTCAAACATTCACAATAATATTCTACACAGCCAAATACACCTATTTTCATTTGTCCATTTAAGTTCAAATCAATTTTATTCTCAAAATTGTATATTTGTACATAAATGCATTTTGTTCTATTGAAATCTGATAATCGGTGTTCTTTACTCACTTGCCTGTTGATTGATTCGTTTTTTTATGAATGTCTATCTATATTGTTGCGGATAAATATTTTGAACATGCCCGTAAACTAACCATCTAAAAATAAAAACCTTCTGATACCAAATACAAACCCATAGCAATCCCAACACGGTTTTTATTGGTTGAAGTTTTCCGTACGTAGGCGTAAGATATAGACTGTTCTGTTGCTAGGGGTGATAGGTAGGAAAAAGACGAGTCTACAATACCTCCCCCTAGATTAATGGCCATGTCAATGGGCATTAATATGTAATGTATGTGCGAAATCTTGCTGGCCAATGAACATGCCTGCCCGACTTCGTGCGGGTAGACTGGGTTGATGGAGACATGTCTTTAGTAGTCGTTTGTGTGTTTGATTGCTCTGGTGCTGTTGGGTTTAGTGGTATTAGAATGACGTCATCACACTGTACGTATGCTGGTTTGAGTCTGTCGATGCTGACAGTATTTTGTTTACCAGCAATGTCTATTACGAAATACTTAGGTGTTCTGGAGATTACCAGATGTTGTCCAGTATAGTTCGGTGTTAGAGGTTTCCAAACTGCGTCACGACGCAGGAAAACATATTCTGAGGAATTTAAGTCTATTGGCACGTAATACGGTTTCTTGTAAACCCGTGTGGGCGTATATATCTCCGTCATTTTTTGTTTAAGATCGGACACGAAATAACTGGTAGGGGTAGAATCCGTAACATTGTGAAAGATTTGTCCTGGAAGGGTTGTTGGTTTTCCGAACACCAACTCCGCACTAGTACACTTCAGATCTAGTTTGATTGTATTTCTTAGCGCAAGAATCACAAATGGTAGCTTATCTACCCATGTACGAGCACTGGTAGACGCTGTTAATGCGTACTTGAGCTGTCGATGAAAACGTTCTACTAATCCGTTTGTTGCAGGGATGATATGCCGTAGTAGAAATTTGTGTTTAATTCCGAGCAAATTGACTAACTCAGTAAATAAAGTCGACTGGAACTCAGGGCCTCTGGTGGTAGTAATAACCGCAGGGCATCCAAATATTGAAATCCAATTCTGAAAGATAGCGTTGGCCACCGCTTCTGCTGTTATCGTCGATAGCGGTACGACCACAGGCCATCGTGTGAAGCGATCTACGATAGTCAGAATATATTCGTATCCATTGGTCCTGTCAAGCGGACCCACAAGGTCGGCGTGTATATGAGTAAAACGACCGTCAGGGGCCGTAAAGGTTGACGATGGTGCTTTCGTATGACGACTTATCTTTGTTGCCTGGCAACGCTGGCACGTGCGGGACCACTGTTTCACGTCGGAAGCCATACCAGGCCAGACGAATCTGTCAGATATGGTCCGCAGCGTAGCCTTCGCTCCAGGATGAGCTGGTAAATGAAAATGATCGAAAACTGTTTTTCTCATCGACGGAGGCAGGTAGGGTCGAGGGTTGCCTGTTGAGATATCACAGTAAACAAGCTTGTCGGTGAAAGGGAGTGGACGCTTTTCTAATTTCAAAGAGGTATCTGCCTGCACTGAAGGGAGTGTGCCGTCACTCAACTGTTTTTCAGAAAGGAGTGATCTACCTTTGACTGTAATGTTTTTAAGGTCGTTCGCTCATTGATGTTACTTAATAAGGTAGTGAATATATTTCACTTTAGATAAGCAATGTTTGAGAATCGATGTCCACAGAGTTGGTTGAGTTTTAATTGTGAGTGAGTCGGCGTTGAGGTACCTTTGCGCGGAAAAATCATGATTTCGAGTGACGTGGAGTATGTTGGCAATTTCTCTGTGGGTGTTCGTTACTGACTGCTTGGGGCAGTCGGCGTTTACTTTTATTAAGTCCTGAAAGTCCGAAATTGGCTCACGGAGTTTTGGCGCAATTTCGTTTCTGCACGTGAGCTTTCAGATTATTGTGTCATTAACCAAT